AATTTTATTTATGTTTTCGTAATCCTTTACGAAACTGTTCCATCGATGAAGGGTAAGGGGTTTAAGGCTTCATCCCAGTCAGACTTATCTAGCCATATTTGTTGCATTATTATTTTTGCCGTGATTATTATTGGACTAGGCCAACCGGCTGGGTCAAATAATTTTGCTATGGCTGATAAAACTTCACGTTTGGTGTGTGCGGGTTTTTTCTCCATTGGGTTGACGAGGAAGAAAAATGAATGCTTTTTGGAGTTCCATCGAATGCCCAGGGTTTTGGTGTTTTTGGGTTCCGAGAGGTTTAGTGTTTCCGTCTCTAAAAGATGATCCTGTGGAAGTCCTTTAAGAATGTGTGGGTCATTGGAGGTCCATTTTCGCAGAGCGAATCCTGGGGACTTCAAGGCAGAAATGAGTTCATCGCGTGYYGACTTTGYCGTRGTCAGGTCATGAGTTCCAGCTAAGACATCGTCTACATACATTTCCGGCTGCTAATGGGTGGGTCTCTTCTATATCATCGGCTAGCTTCATGAGGGTACGGATCGCTAGATACGGCGCACAATTTATGYCGAACGTGACTGTTTGCAATTCGAAGCCTTCTATTGTTTCTTCCGGGGACTTCCTAAATAGTATTCTTTGGAACCGAGTATGATTAGGGTCTACGAGTATTTGCCGATACATTTTCTGAATATCCGCATTAAAAACGAATTGGAAGAGTCGCCAATTTGTGATCAGAATGACAAGGTCTTTCTGTAAAGTAGGCCCGATATGTAAGACGTCATTTAAGCTTTTGTTATTTGACGTGGGGCAAGATGCATTAAATACCACATTTTTGGTCTGATTTGGAAACTACGGATTCCTTTGGGATTTCCACCAGTAAAATACTTGGATAGATATCACTACCGATTAGTGTATCCACGGGTCTGGGTGTGTGGAATTGGGTGTCTGCTAAAGTGAATCCAAGTATTTTAAGACACTGCTTGGGATCCAAGGGGTATGAGGGTAAATTATCAGTTAGGCTATTTAGTATAAATG